GACTTGCGACATGACAATCGACACCTGTGTTAAATAATGAGATGATGTAAAATATGGCTAGCGAAAAAAAAAATAAATACTTTTCAATGAAGTTATATTTCACGATTGTTTTTGATTTATAATAATATGCCTAAGTTTATATAAAAAAATTGATAATACAGATAAAGATTAATATTATTAATGCTCAGTTTCTAAAAATACTAAAATTACTAATTTGTTTTTTTTATTTCTTTTTGAGAATTTCTCAAAAACAAAATGGAATACAATATGATATCGCATGCACATTTTTCACTCAAATAGATAGCAGTTATATATTTAGCATAAAATACTATAAGTTTTTTAATAAAATGTACATAATTTGCAAGGAAACACAAAAATTTTATGTACAGTTCTTTACTGAAATATTTTATAAAATGTGATAATTTTTGATTCAATTTGAACGAATATTAATGAAATTATAAATATTTTTTTAGAACAACTAAAGAACAACACAATTTTAAATCACGCACAAAATAACTCCTACACTTCTGCTTACAACATAAGCAATTAATAGTGTACACACGTTTTAATTAATTGAGCTTTCTTGGAAATTGTTTAACATTGTTAACTTTAATTGTTAAAAAATAAAAGTAAATATAATATTATATGTTGTAACAATAATATAATATTAAATTATATTTCTACTTAAAGTAAAAATTAGCTCACTAGAGAATTATGACATCAGCAGAAAAATCGAAAATTTTCCTTTATTTAAAAATTAAATTATGATTGCAGATGTTATAAATTAAAAATATTTATGTAGTTTGTGATAATTTATCAAAATCATCAAGGCAGAAAAGGAATCATATTTGTTTACTAAATACTTAAAGTCTATTTTATTTTCTAAAAGAACGAAAGTACTTTTCTACACAGCAATAATTAGACTAACATTGATTGATATATGGATATGAGGTATGATACAGAATTTCCATACAGAATGGAACAAAAACTTATGTCATTCGAATAAAATACTAAGAAACATCTGCGGTCCTGTATAAGACAACAGACTGGGATGCAGGTGCAGAAGAGGAACAAAGAAATTCGAGAGTAGGCAGGAGTTCTGAGGATAACCAACTTTATGAAAACACAAAGAATCAAATGGTTTGGACACATGATGAAGAAGTCAGACTCAGAGTTTTTTAAAGCGGTGGTAGAATGAAACCCCACGGGGAAAAGACCAATAGGACGTCCAAAGAAACGATGGAATAAAGTAGGACTTTGAGTAATTAAGGATACCAAATTAAGAAAGACAATTACAAAATCGGGAAGAGTAGAAGGAGATTTCGGCGATGGCAAAAACTCTTGAAGAGTTGTGATACTAGTGAGAGAGAGAGAAAAACCGCGTATTTTGTGATTATTTAGTAAACCTACAATGTTATAATTTATTGTGCGAAATAAAATCTATCTGGCTTACTGATTAAAGGGCAAGTCAAATTTGTAATGGTGTGATAACAACTTGCACTATAATTAGGTAATATAAATTATAACATTTGTAGTGCATCTCCATTACTAGATAGTAATATTTGTTAATTATAAAAAAGAGCTTGGTTTTAAAAATTGTGAAATAAGTAAATCGTAATATATGTGAGCTTTGACTTTTATCAAAGAAACTACCATATTATAACTATTCATAAATGTTATTACGTTTATTATAATATTCATAATATTTTATTTAAGACTATAGGTAATATTCGTTTACAATAATTATTATTTTCAAATTCTTAAATATTATTTGTTTAACGTATATTATAAATGTATAACAGTGTATTGTATACACTACTACACTAAAATCAATATATTTGTATTAGGATTTTTTTTTAAAAATATATTATTGGGTAGACTTCAATGAAGCAAAGAAAATGTTTATTGATTTTATAATTATGTTAAATTTATGTATGTATTTATCGATGGTAATCCATTAAACGAATTTCGTTTCTCGTACACTTATTAATTAGTCACAAGTATAATGTAATTGTGGGTTATTTTCAAAATGCAAATTGGATTATTTTAATACTTTTTAAATATGACAAAATAAAAACCCTGTGACATTTTCGAACAATTACCATTTAGAATATAATATTTTAATTGATGTGAAATCTTCACTGAATATAAAATGCAGTAAGGTTTACTAGTACTTATTTCTAATTAATATTAAGAAACACATTTTTCATTTTTAAATACAATAATATTTAAACTGAATCTAAAACTTCATACCAATAAAATTAAAAATCCAAACACAATTTTTATTATTTATATTTTAAAACTTGGCAATTGTAATATTTTAAACGTTAGGAATAATTATAATTATTAATTATGTTTCTGTGAATACCATTAATACTATAAAATATATAAGCAATATACTTAATAAGTAAAACTAATAAAAGGTATATTTAATTATATTATTATACACTGATTTTTCAACCTACATTAGCAATTTCATTATTTATTGACTGTTTTATATTTATGTAATGAATATGCAATATGATAATATTACTACAAATTTTTCAATTATAACAACCGTATGAAAGTTTTATAAATATTGAAAATGTATTTTTTAGTATAAAATTTCACTAGACTATATAATTTTTTATAGCATTAAATAGTTTTGTTTAAGCATGAAGGGGGCAAACTATGTATCAACATATAAATGATCTTTATTTTTGTTTGAAATAAATAAATAAACATATTTATATCTTTGAACATTTTTTTTAATGTTGTATATTCAACTAAAATATAATATAATCGTCATTTTAGGTGACAAAAGAAATAAATGAATTTTATTATCAATTTAATTAATTTAATATAAGTATTTATAAATATTTTTGATATAATTATGAATTATTACTCACCATCAAAATAAATATAAACTCATTATTGTAAACCAATAGATTCTTATTCTCACTTACACTTTGATTACTTAAACAATTTATTTTGATTTTAATCTTTATTGATATAATCTAGTTCTTTTTTTTTTAATTTATTTCATTATTGTTTATTATAAATCTTTCATTTATAAATCTTTAAACTGATAAAAATTACGGTTTTTTATATTATTTTAAAAGAATATGTGACTTTTATCATTATTCTTACTACTACTTTTAAAATTGTTAACTAATTATTCGTATAACGAATACAAAACAATGAACCTTGCTTCTTTAAAATAATTTTTTAATGTCATAATTATCATAACTTATAAATTACAATACATTAATCATAGTGAACCCCTTATACCTGTGTCTCACCTTTTTCAAAACTATACTTTATGCGTTATCTTTTCGAAAAAAACTGAAATCTAATAAAAAAAGTCAAGTTTATAGTAAGTACTTAGTTTAGCAATTCTATCAACTGCAATGTTTCTAAGGGGCTGTATAAAAGTCTAAAGGACTTTTTAATTAACAAACAATTATTATTATATTTTAGGTTTCTTATTTAATAGCTAAATACTGACTATAATTTTTTGAAATCGTGTTCTATGAATTTATTTTTTTTAATTATTAATTAAATTCTCTCGAAAAGTAACTTAAATAAAATGGGTTTTATCGTTTGATAAGGTGTAATTATAACCATTTTCATAATTTCTATTTTAAAATTATAATTATTTTTTATTTTCTTACAAATCTTACATAAAATAATATATAAGTTCTCTGCTTACAGACAATAAATTATTATAAGAAAACAAAGTCTTGAATACACATTCATAGATAACAAATATTGAAAAAAATGTTGTACCATCTATCCAATATGTTTTCACATAATCTGTAAAAAATGAGAACACTTTAATGATACCTACTAAATCAACAGATGTTTGCTTAGATTTGAACTCGGGAATATTTCCTAAAAGTATTGATTTACATAAACTTGAGCATATTTAATTTACCAGTTAATATGCAATTACTTTGAGCTTTGACTATTTTTGTTCTAAGTCCAGTATTCACAAAGTTTCTTATCTCTGTTTATTTATTGTGTCTTTGAACTTTAAAATATTTATAGCTATTTCTATAAACCATTTGTTTAATATCAAATATATTTTGATAATGTTTAATAGTTAGGCTCAGTTAGTTGGCCAATATTAATTTATTAAGATGTGTAAATATAAATTATGAAATTGAAGATGTTTATGGTAAATAATTACATTTAAATAACGTTTCTAATGGAATTCTGTTGACAACTATAATGTTTATGTCACTTTTCAAACTTAAGTGATCATACATCATACAGTAAATATATATTTTAAATCTAAGAAATACATATGAAGTTATATGATCAATCGAAAGGTTAAAATCATTGTAAAACACTCAATAAAAGAAAAACTGATAAATTAAATTGATAAAGTAAATGTAATACTACAAAATATTTCTTAGAAAATTTCAAACGATACTATTGATATTATTAAAGTGTTCAACAGCGTTATTTCGTGAAATAAATAATTCAACTGATAAATAACTTAAAACCAAAAGCAAAATATGTAATTTCTATTTTGAATAGGTCATTATTATGTACATTCTTATCGTATATTATACGTTTAAGAGTATAATAAAAATGTACTACCAATGGAAACTGACAAATAATAACTTTTCGATTTACCACAATTCATTCGCTTGAAACTAGTCAAGGATGTTCTAATAAAAGTATAATAATAAATAATATCAATAATGAAAAAAAGAAGATTTTTTAAAAATATTTTTACTCTCTGTATCTAAACTTTATTACGCCAAAATTTAATTTTGTATGATTACCAAATATGCTGCAAAGCAACTGACTAGATTGAATAGAAAAATCAGTATTTTCTCGGGTTACGTTTTAAACTCGAACAACAATTTTTCTGTTCAGAAAAATAAATAAAAAATAAAAAAAAGTATTTTAGTACGACATGTCTTTCGAGAATAAAAATCGCTCGTCAATACGTATTAAATATTTATAATTAATAATAATATTTTATTTTGTTTGCAAATGTTTTTCAGTAAAACCACTTAGTGTGGCAATCACAGGAGCCGAACACCCATTTCTTTCCGGCGAGCCTAGCAGTCTCGATTGCGTTTCGTATGGTTCAAGACCTGCAGCTAACATTACATGGTATCACCACGGACGGGTCATCGAGTACGAAACAAATAGGATAAAGGTACACATATGTGCAATATTATTACTTCCAGAGAACAAATATATATGTGTGTGTATGATATAACGTATCATATGGTTTATTATAATGCAAACAGAGACATATGCAAATGAATGGTACGATGTATGAATCAATTGAATTCATTTTTCCGGTTCGTTGGGAATATAATGCCTCCAAAATGTAGAAGGGATCAAAGTATTTTCGATCCTGGAAAGGTCGACCGAGACTAAAAGGACTTAACCCGATTTCTTTTGTTTTTCTTTCACGTGCAGTAATGGGTTAGGGTCATTTACCAAACTTTACGACCGAAATTAATTGTAAATGATTTTAATCGCTTCTATACAGAATGCTCTATTGGTGTCAATAGGGGCCTTTTCAGTCGATTATGGAACCATAATCAATATGCGCAACGCCCCGGAGTGAAATTATTGTGCTGTTTCATGAATAGTTTCATAAAAATTAAATTTCAATAATTATATTTCTACAAAATACAACTTAAATTAAATTATATATTTATAGTTATTCCGTTTATATAGTTAATTTATTTTATTTAGAGTGTATATAGCATATTTTTTCAATGTACTTCAGTCGGATTTTACATTTTAAATAAAAAGTTTGAAAATTATATTTCATACAAAAGTATTATACTCTTAGTTAACAGAGTACATTTGACATAATACGTGATATATGCATGTTAAAAAAAAAAATTTTCGAACTCGTTCTTAATGTATTTTTAAAATTAATTTCCAGGTGGTCGAAAATAATAATATGACCTGGAGCACTTTAAAATTAACACCAAACGATGATGATAATCAAAGTGTTGTAAGCTGCATCGCGAGCAACATATATTTCCCGAATGATTCAAAAGAACAGCAAATAATACTTGACGTTCATTGTACGATATTAATAACAGCATAGGTAACGCTTTGTGTTTAATTTCACTTTATTTGTATTTAGATCCACCAAGGCTACAAATAAGTTTAGGTAGAAACCTAAACGTTTCTAATATTAAAGAAGGTTCTGACGTGTATTTCGAATGTATTATTAAGGCTTCTCCGGCCATAATCAAACTTGATTGGGATCATAACGTGAGTATTCAAATTCAAATTTAATTCAAATATCTTATTATTACGCAGTCGGATGTAAAGAAAAAATGTAAAAACAATTCTTGAAATATCATTTTATTTTTTTAAAATATTATTTTTAGGGAACAAGTGTTGGACAACACGAGAGTCGAAGAACAATTTTGAGCAATCAAACGTTAGTTTTACAATCAATTACCCGTAAAGGTTCGGGAAGCTATCAGTGCATCGCCTCAAATGCCAGAGGAAAATCGATTAGTGATGCCTATCATATTGACGTTAAATGTACGTTAAATGCTTTGCTATTTATAAAAATGCCCAATGATTATCACGTTGAATAAATAGTTGATAGATAATTGCCAGAATTCAGAATCAATTAATTTAAAATCACATTATATTTATAAAATAAGGAGCAAATTCAAAACAACAACCGGTTTATAACTAAAATATGTTACACTGTACAGTGCACGTACTATAAAATACTTATACAAATACTAATATATTGACTATAAGCCGTAATTAATATTATGATGTATTAATATAAAAATAATAATAATTAATAACAGGTTGTATGACTATACTATGATTTTTAAATTTATTTTCAACACATATACAATTTTACATTGTAATTTGTAAATTTTTTCTCCGCATTTTTTAAATTACTCAACCATAACACTTGACGTTTTTTCGTACGCTTAATTATTGTGAACTCAATTTTACGACATCCATTCTGAAATAAACTATAAACAATATCAGGGTTATAAAAATATTAGTATTATTGGACTATAAGGTTCAAGATATTATTCTTGTTTATAACTACAGTGGCGGAAAAATAATGTAAATGAAAAATAGAACTAATTAAAAATATTACTTAAATTATGATATAAAATCAAAATTATTTTTAAATTTTTTATTTATAGTAAATATAAGTAAAATTTCTACTGATATGAATTGTCAGAGTTTATTTTTCAGTTATTAGGAAGAGAGGTCAATTTAATTTAGATGGTTGTGTTTTTAAAATTTTAGAAATCACGATTAAAAATGTTCTTCACTGATATATATTATATCAAAACCTTTAACCCAAGTTTCTCAACAGTTGTTCATATCAATTCATTTAATAGGTAAAAATTCAAAACTGAATCAAGAGGGTAGAGGTAGGGGTGAAAGGTTATAGCTCCGGGCCACAAGTTGAAAGGGGCCATAATATGTTATGTAATCGTTGTTTAACAAATATAAAATACTATTAATTATGCATATACTACAATATACAAATATAATATACTTATTTTAATTAATATTAATTACAAATTAATAAATTTGAATAAAAAATGTAAATTGCTTTGGGTGAAAGGGCCTTACCAAAAAGTAATTGCCCACCTTATATTTATGACCATAATCCGGCCCTTGAGAGAAGTAGTGGGTCCATTACATGAATTTTAAATGTTTTTTTATAACAACAAAACTAATTGCCCGATCAACCTATTTAAAATTGTTATTCTTCAAACTTAAAATAGTAATATTTACTTTTAAAGGGTTTATATTGTATTTTTAAGATTTAAATAACTATGGGTGATCCATGCTTTTGTTTTTGTTTCACTAAAATTTATTTCATTATTTAATAATAAAACGTATTATCTCTACCGGTTCTAAATCTAATTTTTCTTCAGAATTAACTAATAAGTCTAATTTTCTAAAATTTTCACACCAATTGTGTATTGATAGCAAATTTAAATTTATAAAAATAAATCTTAAACTCTTGGGCAAAATCGGGTAATTCTTACGTTGTTATTTACAAATTCATAAATCAATTAAATTGTTCTCATATCTGTATACTTTTATAATTAATTAATACTAGTAAAAATTAAATCAAACAATTTTACATTTTAGTATGATTTAAGACACAAAACTTTAGTTTAACAACAATTGGAATAAAAATAAAAATAAATAAAGCACATTAATCTCACATTAGTACTTACCAGTTTTTCCATGATTTTCTGACGTATATTGAATACATATATTACAACTTTACTAAAATAATATTTTATTATTATGAAACGTCTGTTTTAGTATAATAATTGTTGTTATATAGATCCAATAATAATAATGCATCATTCATAATAATAAATTAGTAAAGGGATCAAATAAAATTGTTGGCATAGTATTACAGTTTTCGTTAATTTAAATCAATAACCTTAAACTATTATATTGCGAAATTAATAATTAATCAATATAGACATTTCAAAAATATTTGGGATTTTTTTGTGGAAACAATGTTTAAATTTAAAATAGTTTTATAAATTGGATTTCCATATAATAAAAATTATTAGATTTTTAATTTCAAAGCCCTATTTTATACGTGGTTATAATCTAGTTTATTCCATGGCATGTACTATGCTATCTCGGAGTGATAACCCAAATATATTTTGTATATATATATACCACAATTATTTAGGTTCACTTTCAAAATGTATTTTCAGTGATCTTTGATCATCTTAATAATAAATCTTCGTGTGGTTTAATAAGAAATGTAAAAACATTTAATATATCTTATAAAACATGTTAAAAATACTCGTTTATAAACAATTATACAAATAAAAGCAAACAACTATATTTATATATTTATTTATTTAGCTATTTGTTTATTCATAACTGGGATATATTTTGATTTTCCAAAGTACTGTAATGATTTTGCCAAAGATTGATATTTGCTTGAATAATTTCGTTGTTTATTTACAAAATCAAGTGAAAATAAGAGAAAATACATAGTTCTTAACACAACTTACAAACGGCAAATATCTTGAGCTTATTTGATAGCACACGATAAAAAGCATAACGCTGTGAAGCTTATGACTTTCTCACTCCACTCGAAGCCTAACACACAATAAAGGTGGTATGGAAATAAGTACACAGGTAAAATAAATCTAGAATAAAAATTTAATTGAAAATCGACGGCTTACGCCGAGCTATTATCATCGGTTTTAAAATATACAAGGCACGCCATTCTATTGGTAAGACGTATAGCGCCTACTTGGACGCAGACACTAGAATTTAAATTGATAGAAACCGATTTTCAACAATGGAAAAATGTCTATTCGGTTCATGTTGTAAGAAACGTGTTTTTATCGATTCGAATGCCGACTTTTATACAGCGTCGGCTATAGTAAATTTTACATCGTAAAATCAACGGTCACCATTGCCATTTACCGTGCATGACGGATTCTTGCAACGGTTGTACCGTTTTTGGCGTGCTGATTTATGCATTCCGCAGCGGTTTTATTTCTTTATTTATTTTTTTTTTTTTTTTAATGTTTATAGACGAACCGTCTTGCAAGACCGACCAGCAACACGTGTACGGAGCGCATAAGGGTGAGATCGCGTGGGTAAAGTGCGACGTCAACAGCAACCCGACCCCGATGTCGTTCCGCTGGGCGTTCAACAACTCCGTGTCTGGTCTGATCAACGTAGCCACTTCGGACCGGACCGCGGACGTGGTCAAGTTCAGGGTGACGGATTTCGGCACACTCCTATGCTGGGCCACTAACTCGCTGACCACGCAGGCGCGTCCGTGCGTCTATCACATCGTGCCAGCCGGTAAGTCGTTTTCATCAAAAGTCCGTGTGTTGTAAACAATTGTGGGTCCTTGTACAGAATTCGAAGCCGAAAGTTTGCGCTAAACGCACTGCGGACCGTGTATTCTGCCGTGTCTGTACTGTTTATAAAAAAAAAAAAAAAATCGTGTGATACATATAGATCATTGGTAATTAGGAATTCGTTTGCGATCTTTTAATTATATAAAAAATCTCTAATCGCACCGATAAACACATTAATATCGTCATCCCGGCCGACGTTTTCTTCCCGAAGCCGATTTTCCGATTCTGTCTTTCTACGCCGTGTGCTTACTATACACAGCAGTATAGTGCTACTAGTCGTGTCCGATCTCCTTGTGATCATCTCTCTACTTCCCTCTTTTTCCAAAAGTAAAAGTATGAACACGACGCGATCCGTTTATAGTTGTTCCTCGTTAACTGTTAACGTTAATCATGAAGGATTAAAAAATTACGGAAAACCTATTTACAAGAAAGGTTACGATTATTACACATGTATTATAGTAATTTTCACGTGTGGCGTCTAAACATAACTGTCACGTTTTCAACAACGCACAGTTTGTTATATGTTTATTTTCATATCAAATGAAATGATTTCTATTCAGAAATAATTGATCAAACAATAATTTGTTTTACATAGTGTTGGTTATATTTTATATAATACTCATATTAATTGCGCATTGAAACGAAACGTGACATTTTTGCATACACGTAAAGTATACTCCGTTGTTTACATTTTTTCCTAGTTTGATCGATTAATTTCGTATTACGTATATATAACGTATGACAAAACATTTTCTAATGCTCAATAATACAGAGCCATAATTAATAGTGAATAATAATTATCTTAATGTAACCTTCGATAAGAACAATGGCTATTAATAAACCCACTGGCAACTACTCAAGTACAACTTTTACTCGCCACATGCAAAATAAATATACATTCAAAATTATAATTAAATACCTAAATCTACGTTTATCATTGTATAAATTACATAATTAATTAATTAATTATATCATTATATAAATTGTATATTTATTAAAATTTATACTATATATAATATATCAACAATTATTGGAAGTTATATAATATAGAATATATATAATTATATAATATATCAAGAATATTATTCATCTCAATAAACATTTCTTTTTCAAATAATAATTTGAATAAAAATAATACTATAAATAATTAAAAATATATTAACAATACGTATTCTGCTACGTAAAATGTATAAAGTAAAATATTTAATGAATAATGTAAAATTCATAGTAAACAATTTCTTATGAATATGATTTTATAAATCAATAAGAATCCAAAAATATGTACAAATATTCAAAGAAAATTACAGTTTGACATGAACCGAAAACGTATGCGATGTACATACTTGTTGTAACTTTCTAAACACCGTGTATGCCCCACATGAATTTGTAAGTTTCTGATCAACAAGATACACAATTACTAACTGGTTTGTTAACTTACGCTATAGGTAAATAGTGTATTTTAGATGACATTTATTGCAACATTTTGCACAACTTTCAAAATAATTGAGTTCTAAAAGGTAAAGAAAATCAGAGTATTAATACTCATAAGAATATTAAATATTTATAATGAATATTTTTTTTCGTCCTATTATATACGAAAATACAACAAAAAAGTTTACTTTTTTGACGTAAAATACGATAATGCGGTGCGCTTGCTTTTTTAAACCGCACAACAAGAGAAAATGTTAGTAAAACTCTCTTTCTCTCTCTCTCTCTCTCTCTCTATCTCCGAATTTTATATTTATATTATTGTTAAAGATCGTTATACATTATTATTGTGCTCCTGAGATTTTTCAAATTTATTTTTAATATTATAAAATACCACGTGGGTCTTATAACGAACAAATAGGAACTACTAACACTAGGATTCTTAACGGATTGCTAAAGAATAAGATAGATTCTCCTACAATTCTATCATTGTTATGCTTTTAAGTTTAAGGTATCTCAATGCGCCCAACCACAATTATTTAGTTAGTGAACAACTAAGACGAACTATGTCGAACTATAATGCGGATCTATCGTTCGATATTTTACATTAATATCGTAATCTTGTGTATATTTACGTATTGTAAATATATATACTAGTATATTGGGTCATATTTTTTTTCCGTTTAATTAATTTATTTAGACGCGAATGTCGTCTAAATTAACTAAAAACCAATGCACGTGTAAATTATTAACTAAGCCTAACAATAATAACGAATTAAATCGAAATAAATATTGTTTCGTGTGGTGTGTCGCAGGGAGGCCAGATCCGCCCAGGAACTGCATGCCGGTGAACGTGACGAGCACCCGGTTCACAGTGCACTGCGAGCCCGGATATGGCGGTGGACTTCCGCAGCACTTGGCGTGCAAGGTGCGGACCACGACAGGTGACCGGCCGGACGCGGTAGAAACAAGCTACCGCGGCAGGGTCGGTAACTCGGCCGTCGAGGTCACCGGGCTGCGGCCGTCCACACGGTACGTGGCCCTGGTGTACGCGGCCAACGCGAAGGGCTCCAGTCCGGGCCAAGTGCGCGTGTACGTTGAGACAGCTCCCAACCCCAAGGATCCACGTGTCGCCGGTAAGTCGTGCGATTCGTGCCCGTGCGCAACGTGTTGGCACTCTCGCCTCAGGGACGGCCACGGGTGGGCGTGGGGCTGGAGTGGGTTCGCGCGTACCGAACGCCAGCACGTGCCTTTTGTTCGACAATCCTGAAACGATTGAAAAACCCTCGTCGGTTTTCGTTCGAGATGAAGCCGAATACGGTCTGGAATCCTGTCCAGACGACGTATGTGCAGTGAACCGCTAAGCGTCACACGAAATTGTGGCGGACACGTTTCCGATTGTCTGGCTGTAATGTATATCGCGTAATTAATACGACGGACGCGAGAAGACGGTGTTCATCTCCGGACAAAAAGCACTGTTCCGCGGTTCACAGGACCGCGAACGTCCATCCGTCACCCTGCGCCTTAGGTCTCCATCGTTAGCCGAGTTTTCACAGAGATGGGTCCCAGGGTTAACTTTGGTCTTACAATATCGATCGACCACTTAACTTAAATTTTCAGCGTTGTGTTTAAGAATAATTGGTTTTAGCAATTTAAACTGTTTTAGACCGTGTACGACTTTTTTGAAATGGACCCGGTGAGAAACGAAAAAAAAATGCTCCCGTACACGTTACGAGACAGCATGTGATACTAAAATAATATAAAACCTAAAACATTAAACATTAATGCCGTTCATTTCGGATTTATTATAGCGCATCATTAATATTAAAAATATCATAATCCTTTTCGTGACGTAAAACATTTTCCATACTTTACAATTTTTGTACTGTTTAGTATGATTTTTAATCGTTCTAGTTTTTTTTTTTTTTTCAAGTGTTATCGATTAATCAGATTTCTTTTAGCGGCTAAAAATTCAATGTGTTGAAATAATAATAATAATTTTTATATTTATATTTAAATACTCATCAAAAATAACTATCCAGTGTCTACTGCGTTCTGACACTTCTCATAACAACCTTGTAGTACTCGCTAAATAGTATCTTTGTACTTTGGTAAAAATAAAAATAATACCACATTAAACCTGCTACACGAGCAATGTGATTTTTAAGAAAATAACGTGATTGTGTCCACCCCCTGCAGTGCCCTTGTTATAAGAAATAAACATTTTCTATTAAATCCACGAAATCTTAAGATATAAAATAATATCCGTACACTTATTTTAGGTGTAAAATAAATGTCTTAGTCAATAGTGTAATGTGTTTATCGTTAATTGAAAGCATGCCCAACACTTTGCCAAACATAATTCTGGTCACGTAAAACTTTCCATTTCCGTTTCTTCATTATCTTCCGGTATTTCAGTTTTTTTTTTCTGGTACACATAGTAATTGTTCTCTCTGAATATAGATTTTAAAACATAGTTCTCATCCTTTAAGTCTTTCCAAAAACACTTGTGTTCCTCCAATAAAAATAGTTTTCATTTTTACATTTACTTTCAAATGTATTTATATAATATTAAAATTTAACAAAGTTTTAAATTGAGCTATATTGATTAAGACAGACAAATAATTTTGTTGACACTGTGTATTTCTACGTATTAACACTGATACAAAACGTCTTATAGGTGAATATCTTTTTATTCATATTTTTCGTAAATTTTTTAAACTGCATTTTTTCATTATTACCAAAAGTCGTAGAAAACATTTTTATCCAGTTATAAAATGAGTCTTTGATGACTTTGAAAGTTACTCGTAATGCATTTTCAATATTTTGTTTTATAAAAAATCATAACATAAAAAATATTGAACATCTTATAACCTTCTATACAGTATAAAGAATAATAACTTAAATATAATTGTAATATTAATCGACATTAATTATAATGCTTAACTATAAAGCTTATTCAAAATACAAGCAACAAATCCATATTAACCTTGCATAACTTAACAACCATTAGCAAATATATCAATTTGATAACAACTCATTTGAATAATAATCGAAATCCAAAAATATTACAATTACATGGAGTGAAAATAATGGTAATGATTTTCGTTCATAATTCAAACACGATGACAGTTATTTTATTAAACTCAAGTAAATATTATATACGAATATATTTTACAATAGTCATATTATATATAATTATAAATACTTCTTTTGTTTTTCTTTTTACTAAATCCTAGGTGATTCGACTAGCACCGCTACCAGGTTCTCAGACGCCGCACACATCGGTATTTTATTACTTGGATGTAGTTTTGTAGCAGTCTGTGTAATGGTGGTGGTATACGCCAAACGATTGGCGGCCAACGTCCGCGGACGATCAGTATTCCGAGAACGGCAAACTGTCAGGATTCAAAATGGCGAAGAAATTCGATTTGCAGGGTCCAAGGGTGTCGACGAACATCCAGTTGTCACAAGTAAGTGAAAACGATTATGGAAGGGAGAAAAAACAGGTCCTTGTAGTTGTGAAATATTCAATTTAAAAAACTATCACTGGAACCGTCCACGATAGACTTTTTCGACCTGAATTGATTTTTTTTCTTTTTTTTTATATAACATACTATACTTGTGGTTTTAAATTTTAAACACGTGACCAAATACTAATTTAAAACTGTTGAGTTTATAGATTCTTGGTCGACATAACTAAAATAACCCTATAAACTAAGTGTAGTAGCACGAATGAAAACATTTTAATGATTTTCTACACATTTTTTCTCTCTTTCGTTATCATTATGAGTTACAATTATACATTAATGTTTTTGGAGTTATACAAGTTGTCTAACGAATATAGAAAAAGTGAATAATAATAGTATGTAACCATCAGTGCTTAAAATAAAAAAAAAATGTCGTGAGCACATCGAAATAGTAAAGTTATAAAAATGACTTTAAGTCACTTTAATAACGATTATTAACATTATTTCAACCAAGGCCATCCTGAAGGAGGATCTTGGGGTGGTATCTCCCCCCCCCCCCCAACGAAAACACCAGTCGGCAGTCGGGCTTATTTCATTATAGACTAGAAGGACCTAATTTTACTTTCGGAAAACAAATATAACATATTTCGTAATACAGTGTATACATGAATAAAATGTATATAACTACTTATTATACAATATAAAATATTATATATATATATATATATATATATATAATTAAATTGTCAATTTTAAGAACGTACAACACTGACACATATATGCATGTTAAAAAGTAAAAATACGACTACGTGTAGTTAATTATACTACATGCATTAAACAAAAAAATTGTAGTTGGCATTTTTCATTTTATTCACTCTCCCCCCTTGATTTTTACCTTCGGGACGACCCTGATTTCAACGCATATTAATATTATTTTTATGTAATAATTAGTTTTAAAAACGAAAGAAGTAGTTTTATTGAAATGCACGCAAATATAAAATTAATTGTATTTAATGATATTATTAGAATTTCTTATGTAACGTATTATAACTTTCTGGAGAACCCTTAGACGCGTAAAAGTAACTTAATAATTTTACATTTTTTATAGAAAATAAAGATCAAATAAAATAGTATGTAGATTAATTATATTTATTATAAAAACTAACTGTCTAATAAAACAGTTATACAATAAATAATGTAATTCATAATAAAGTATTTTATTATGAAATTTATTTTCGATAGGTAACGTTAAAACACAACAATATAGGTTTCAAAATTACCGATATGGCGATATTAATATTTATGGTCCATTAAACTCGATTCACAGTATTCCTTCAAAGTAATCCGAATCCTATAAAACTACATATAGAACTATATAGGTAGTAAACTATCGAATTAAAACCGTTAACAGTACAGGTATATATTATAGCATACATTGTTATGTGGGTTTAATCGTAGATATCTACAATTTTTGACTGAAAAAAACCCCTATGCTACTTATCCAAACTGTCAAGTTAGTAAATTATGGCATTCAAACGTGTGACGGAAGTACACACACCCGGTCTATATTCATCTGTAATATATCCATGGCTTGATTTCACATCGAACATTATTTTCGTATTGCAGAACTCAAAGTGTTTTTAGAGAAGTCCTGTGTAACCAACCAACCATGTGCTAACTAACGACTGGTTGAACATGGGTAGTCCATGAATATGGCGTCCGAATACCGAGCGTTCTACAAATTGCAATAGCGATCGTCGACCAACTGCTCCTTAATCTGAAAGTGTTATTTATCTGCAGAATTTTAATTAAAACTTCGTTGTTTAGATCAGTGGTATATTTAAGGGGGATGCATAGGGTCACATAACTAATTCAATCAAAACGGATACGCCAATATCCAATATTCCATCGCGCGCGATCGTATTGTATACCACCAGGGAAATTGTCACAGATTTTAGACAGACATATAATTACCCGAACGTAATTCATTCTGGATTTGTTATAAACGTAATTATTAATAAAATAAAAATAAAAAATAAGGATTTTCATTTTCTTTACTTGCGTTGAGCGATGACTATCGCCGTTTGTTCATACCGTTGAACACCATGACAAAATGTTTACACGGAAATCCTTCAGATTGTTCTTTGGTTATCAACAGATGAGTTGCTTCTTGCGAAACGTGGATAAATGAACGATTTCGGGTTTTCCTCTCTTAAATACAAAGATAATCGTGTACAAACAACTTACACAATAAATGTTTTCAAATCAAACAGTCGATAAAAGGAAGTGAATCGACCAATATAATTGGTTTTCAAAAACAATAGTTTTTCTTCGGCTAGTAAAAAAAAATGAATTAAAATAAAAATTTTCGACTATCCTTGTAAAAACGTCTTTTACGTCATACACTATATTATTTGAGTTTCACGATTAGATACCTCTGTTCTCTGAATATCAACGATAAATCACGTTCATCATACTTAGAATGCGAACTCTTACGGTGGGTTGATTTCCATTATTTTCAACTCGAATATTTTAGAAATTTACAATTTAGAACCTTTTTCGCAGAAAAAATTATTAAAATTATAGTTACTTCTGCAGAGAAAGCAAAATAATCGGCTTATCGAGATAATCAAATGCTAAAATATATTTGAAAGGATCTAAAATGTAATTCGAGTTCAACATAGTATTGCTAGTCTACTGGGTACACATAAATTAGATCACTGATTTTATAAAATAAGAAAACATACATATTTGAATAACCAATCTAATATGCATAAATAGGTTAAGTGAAACTTTTCAGGGGACTCACAAATCCATTATATAAAAAAAAATTTGTGAAGTACGATTCAAACAAATATTTATATTTTAAATATAAGTATGTACTACCCATATTATAAAATCATACATATAAACGAACTGAAAATAATTGTTTTTCTAGTTTTCCTAATCAGTTTGAGCAAGAATTACATTCTTGCATCAAATTGGTTATGAATAGAGGCAAAAATTGTTGTTCAAAAATGTTAATAAACAACTTTGTAAAATCCAACTTACATAAATTAATTTTGTTAAGTAAATGGAATTACAAAAATATTTTCTTTGAAAGTATTGATTAAAATTAACAACCTTAAGAAATGTAAGCGTAAAATATATAAACGAAATTTTATTTCAATGCACTTCAAACTTAATAATTCTGTAACAAATTTCAATGCCACAAAAATAATTAAAGTGCATCTAAAACAATTATGAAATAATGATTAATTTTTGAAATACAAAAATAAAAATAAATGTATTTTGTTAATAACTATTAAAATTATTGTATAATATTATTATTTTTGAATAAGAAATATTTTCATAAAAAATGTATACTTTTACACTACATAACAGAATAATAAATACAATTAAATATAATAAAAGCCAATTTTATTTAAAGCTGACAATTTATATTTTCACATTGTGTTATTTTATAAGCTACTCGTATATAATATCCCTAAAAGATTGAATAAATAGATGTATAAAAATTATTGAAATTATGATTCTTCAAAAAACCTTAAAGCAACTAAAGTATTACTTTATTCATAAGATATTTTTCATGAGTGTTAATAAGCCGATATAAATATAAAGACTTTTAAATTAAAATATAAATGAATAAGTAGACTTAAGCAGACTTTTAAATAGTAAGACAGATCCAACATTTTTTTTAAATTATACGTACAATTTCAAAAAATCAGTACATTGTTTTCTTAATTTTCAACATAAGTATGAATTTAACTTAGTTAATTATCAATCTATTATATAATTTATAATTAAAATATAATAAATAATTTCAAATATTTAATTTTTACACAGCCTTTCAATAATTTTTTAAAAGGACATTTTATTTTTCATTGTAACTTTTAATTTTTGATACTGATTTCTTCGTTTGTATTTTATTTAATAGTTTTAAATACCATTGCAGTTATTTTGCTTTTTAAAGCGTAAAATAAATAAATTACTTAATTATATTTTTCGTTCAGAAAAATTTGCTATTTTACTATCATTATTCATTTTTAAGTTTAAAATAATTGTGCATTAGGCGTTTCTTAATACAATTTAATTCATTTTTGCTCAAGTATGCTTAAAAATTAATTATAACTACGTAACTACTGTAAAACAATACTAAAACGCTCCATCATATGTTACTCTTTTATATTGAAAGAAAAAAAAATTTCTTGAACGAAAATATTAAACATTTACCACCGAATATGATTGAAAATAGTCTTATCGTAAATGTTTCATATGGGTTAGATTTTCTAACTTTGGGTATCAGCACCATTACTAACCACACACGTCTAAATAACTTATATTTATCAATGAACATTTTCTCAACTTTTTTTGTTTATTGTTTTCGGTAATTGCGGTATTATTTATCATTCTTATATATTATTGTATCATAATGTTTAATTACCATTTTTCAATTATTATTATTCTGTATATTAATTACGTAAATTTAATATTTTTAATTTTAATTTTTAAACTGTATGTAACGTTCGAAATTATTTTACATATATATTGGTTTATATTCTGCGATGGCGCTCTTCAGCCCGCGGGTGAATCCACCGCCGCTCGACGAAAACACCAACGATTGTACAATCGACGTGCACCACACACTATCACCGCTATCTAATACCCGTTGTCCGGAGTTTGACCGACCGACAGAAACATAAACAATCGAACGTGTAAAATACCGGCCAATAATTATTTATTATTAATCATAACAATTATGTAACCCTGTCGATTGTTTTGGGTACCATCCACGATCCGGCCGACGTCAATTTTTGTCACTTGTTCTTTTTCCCATATACAGACAACATGACTGAATAAACAAATCCGTCTGGCCGGACGCGTACCGGGACGATCCTCAAACGTATTTGAGTTGGGTAATATGATTTTTTTTTTTTTTTTTTTTGTATATTATTGATGCATCACCTTGATCGGTATTTCTATTATTATTATTATTATTTTATTTTATAGATGTTAATTTATTGTATTAATTGTATGACCATTATATTCAAATCCGTTGGTAACCACAATCGGAGCCGCACGATGTTAAATTATTTTTATAATAATTTGTGAGTTTGTCATGAATTATTTCTGATATGTTTCGAAGGGTTTCCATTACCCGTTCCCCGTAATTTCTTTATTATTATATTTGTACTTCTTATGTTAATTTTCTTTCTGATCGAGTTTTACGCCAGTCGGCTTTTTCGGAATCAATTTAGTTTGTTCAATAAATACATATAATGTTTCCTAATAGATAATATTGTATTTTTTTAATTTATATCAAAAATCCACGGTACTCCGACCTCTTCCGAGTCTTGGTCCATGGTTGGCGACCTTACCATAAATAATGGCCAATGTATACTCCATGCCGATCCTGGGAGTGCGAGTCATTACATGTAATAGTTTTTACTGAAAGTGCTAAATAAAAATAATAAAAATAAAATTATATTTTTAGTCATCACTCAACTCAAGTAAAGATAATTAAAATCCTTATTTTTTTTTTTATTTTTATTTTATTGATCATTACGTTTTTAACAAATCCATAGTGAATTACATTAAACAAATGGTCCTTCCAGCGTTCAAGATCTTCAATATCAAATTATAATTGCTTCTTTTTTCTGTTGACGTTCTGCTTTAGTTATCAAAATAAACATAAAATCAGTATATTACTTATAATTTCTAATATATTAAATTTTATATTACTCGAAGTCTCGAAAAGGCAACTCTTGCTGGCCAAGTACCGTCGGCCAAAATGTTATCAAATTTTCATTCTCATTCCAATGAGTCAGGTGAACCACACAATTTATATTGTTACTTAACCGTTTCATATTGTACATGCATAAAAATAGAAAAATGCATGAATATCAGAGACAATATAATTTAACTAAATGAAATGAAGTATCCGAAAGTCGTCAGTTTGAAGTATTATTTTTCGAAAAAACTGGTTACATAAATCATGGGTTATTTCAACGAAAACATTAAGATCACTTACAGAATAATGAATATTAATGTACATTTTTATTTTTATTTTTATTAAAAGAAACAAATTACAATTTTTTGATCAACTTACCTGACCTGTTGATGAGTATAATAAAAAAAATTCTTCGCGTCTATCTTTAATGACGATATTACGTGGTCCTCGGTTTGGGCACACCACGTGCCAATACCAATGGTAAAGAATCTTCGCAAAAATAGGCGATCCTGTTCTCTGGTTTTAGATTTCTGGCAGTAAAATTACGTGATATGACGATGGGAGTCTATTACACAATATTTTAAACTAATTTATAACGCACAAGGCTCTATAATTGAGTTAAAACAGAGGCAGTACCTGAGTAATTAATCCGTAGAAAACGAAAATCTAAGCTAAGTGTACGCTAAGTAAGCAAACAAATTATAATTGACATTGAATATCGAGTAAATAATTATCTAAAGCGCAACATCGGAGAAAATTAACTCCAAGTTAAGTTTCTGTCGATTTATTATTTGTTCTAAAATTTTAAAATGACTTGTGTGATCTTTAAAACTATCAATACAAATATTATTATCATTAAATTTCAAAAAACACTTACACATTTTAACTGTGCAATATCAGCGCTGAATATCATTTTTTAGCATTTTGTGAAAACGAAAATTGAAACCATCAACTACTTTCAACGTTTAATTCCTTTCGCTTTTCATAACGTCAATTTTTATTAAATTGAAAAAAAATGTAAACTATGGACTGCATATCATAGGCGAACATTTGGTTGAATTTTTTTTTTTTTTTTTGGGGGGGCTATAATAATTCAATGTAAAATAACCCGCAGGAGTTTTGCCTCCACACCCCCTTTCCAAACACAAGTAAGACTTATTACTGTTAAAAATATAGATATGTTTAAATTTTATTAAAAAAAAAAACACTAAATAACGTATATTTAAAATAATTATTATTTTATTTTAATGACAAATATCAGCAAAGATATTTAAAATATCATCGCTTTTAATATTTTTCAATATACAGTATTAAAAGATCGCTGAACCTATCTTGAACAAACGATGTCCTTAGCCAAGTTTTTATTTTTTTCATTGCACCGAAACTTCTTTTGCAAGTAACCGAACTAATTGGTATTGTTAATGTTATTGTAAATAGTTTTTTATTATTTCTTATTTTACGATTTTCAAAAAAACGAGCAGATAATTAGAAAAACAATGAATAATATTTCCAACAAAGTTTCCATTTTGGAGGAGCTATTAAGATATTTTTGGGGGGCTAAGCCTATGTTCACCTATGTTGCATATAGACTATAGTGCAACTTAAAACCTCGTGCGTAAGGTCTTCGATCAAATGCATACTGGCTGCTAGTAATATATTATATTAGTGAACATATTATTATTATCTATATCGATCAATCAGAGGTTAATACTTATCTTTAAATTGTACAGCCAACTGGAAATCGGAATACTCTCAGGCCGCAATTTACGTACATTTCAAATATATCTGGGACGCAATTTACGTAATATATAACTATGACCTTTTTTGGGGGACGCAATTTATCGACTCCAGTTTTTGCTATACGACAGCGAAAGGATCAAATCGGAAATAGTGCTCAACTTATGGATTTGGATAATCTTAGTGAGAGGAAACCGATTCTGAATTTCGGACGCCAGTGGCTTATAATTGACCGTCTGGATGAATACAAAAAATTAAGTTACAATAGATTTCGTTTTACAACTCATTTTTTTGCCATACAATGATTTTAAATATGAATTAGGCATTTATATAATTATATTAATTATATATATTGTGACCTATTATAGATACTAATACATTTAAATATACCATACGACTCAATATTGAATTAATTTTCGCATGAATTATAAAATTATAAGAAACCTACCCAATATTTATTGGATACTTCAAATGATATATTTTCGTCACCTTTTCCGACAAATAATGGTTTAGTAGAATGATCGAAAAAATATGACATCATTTTTTCTGCCATGATGTTCTGAATGTTCTGAATATTCTGTACTTATTAACCAGATAATATAATATATTAATAGTTTCCAAGGTTAGAACTTTTTTTCGAGACATTTTATTAAAATCACAATTATTTCGAATAAAAATCCGACAGAGTCAAATAACACTTATCAGAAGGGAAATAATTGATTCATAAAATAATCAAATGTTACAATATATATTCTAGTGAATCTAAAATATAATTCTTTTTACCATTATTCGGCCAATATATACACGTAAACAAATTAGATAATTTAAATACAACACATCACTTTCGTTTTTCTGAATACAATTAAAATGCATAATACATATATAAATATATTATGAAATATGATTATCTGTTGAGTCTAATGAATTAATTTAAATTATATTATATACTATTATTATTACTAATAAGAAATATTATTTATTTTAATATTTCTATCTTGCACTATCTACATATATCTTGTAATGATAAATATATACGATATATACATGTATCGTAAATGTATCGTTTTTCTAATTACGATAAATAAAATTAATATTATTTATAATGTAGTAGTAACTAAATGATAAATTAATTAAATATTAAAACTGTATTAAAACATATATTTATATAATTAGGCTTGAGGTCATCCTCGTCTAAAGCGGCGTTGGAGTAATGGTACTACTTTAAGGTTATTTTTATTGGTTGTACTATACATTGTTGTTATTATTCGAGTAATATCAACATAAATTATTTACAATTTTTTTTTATACTCAATGTAAACAAATATTTTCTACGTTTTATTTTCTAAAAAATAAATCTTAGTAAGTTTGAATATGTATACATTTTTTCAATATGAATTATTCAAATAATTGGCTTAGATAAAAATTAATTACGTATTATTACAGTCTATATAGTATATAAATATATTATATCTGAGATATTTCGAAGAAATAAAATAAAAGAAATTCTAAAACGATTCTTAGAAGTGATTACTGCCCATATTTAATATAGTATAATTAATTGTATGCTCCAGAGGTTCCCAACCTTTTTTGACTCGCAGCACCCTTTATTATTTTCTAAAAATTTGGATGCACCCTATAGCCTATGCTCTATACTCTATAGTTTATACTGAATGCGCAATAGTAATATATCACATATTTAAATTTATATTTTGTAACTTCGGTTTAATTTAGCATTAATAAACAATAAAGATAAGATAAAGTCACAAGTATTTCACCATAAATAACTTTAAAACAGTTCACATCAAATCGATAGCAATCGAACCAGTATGAAAATTAAAATAAATTGAACATCTCAGTATTACTATGTAAAAATTATATATAATTATATTATATATATAATTATATATAATTAAATTATATATAATTGAAACATTAAATTATATAATATATACCTAATTAATTATACACAATAGATTGTATACTATAGACATAAAATATAGTCTGTTTTATTACTCACAGTGCAAGTGGCGCACAATAGATTTTTGACAAAAGTGTCGAAAATATATATTTCGAGGTATCCACTCACCCCCACCAGTAAAATCTGAGTTTAGGCATAGTGCAATTCTTATTTTTAAGTGTTTTTGGTTTTTTCTTACTAACAAAGATACTAAAAATAAAAACGTTTAAAATAAACCTAATATTAAATATTTTTCAATTTTTTGGGTATTAATATATAAATTTGTATAACATAATTTTTGGGATTGAGCCCTACTACTTATAAGTTTTAGTTCTAAGGTAACCATAATTAGCATGTTAATTTGGATAGCTGAAAAATTGGTTAGTATTAAATTATAACAAATATTCATAAAAGTTCACACAGAACTAGTCATCCACAAATTCTCTAAGAGGTGTCAGTCGACACCCCGACCCTCCCGGTGTGCGCCACTGCACAGTGCTATATTTTTCATGAAGGCGTTTAAAAAAATATATATATTTCAAATATTTTTGCTGCACCCTAAATTTAAGTTCGCGGTACCCCAGGGTGCCGCGGCATCCTGTTTGAGAACCTCTGGTATACTCACTATTATAATTATTTGATCTCATAGGTTAGTACAGATATTGTATCTCTTATAAATATGGATTATACTTTAAAATATTATGCTTATGCATACTCGTATACTTATAATAAATAATAAAACAAAATGGCGACATTTGTGTACGATGCATAATGTATATAATTTTTAATCGTGTCTACAATATTAAAATCCTTTATATTTTTATATTAAATTCTACTAATTTAATTTAATAAGATTATAAAAGATTATAATGAATTTAAAACGCTAATATAATCTTCAATATTTACTTAAAACTGTATCTAGTATACATTTAATAATTGGATTGCCTCTTTTTATGTAAATCGTTAATATCTATATTTTTGTTTTATTTATAAGTCTTTATGATGTACTGCAGTAATTTTGTTATTTGAAGCATAAAATAAAATAAATATATCGCCAGATATAGTACTCGGTGAAAAGTTGTTTTTTATAAAATTCGTAAATTGTTAAGCTAAAGTTAACTATGTATTTTTAATAATGATTAACAGTCCATTTTTGTTTAAATATGAATAAAAATTAAATTACCTATTTAATTACACGTCTAAATTCGAGTATAAATTATATTATACGTTTATCAAATATAAATTGCTATATGTAAATTTCAAAATACATTGAATATTTTTTATTTATTACAATATAAGATATATAGTATATACAATATATATTAAGACTAAATAAATAAATAAATATTTAAAAAAATTTATGATGTAAAAAATCGAGATGAGTGGAGATTTAGGACGTGGGTGGCCAACCCCAAACAGTTGGGAGAAAGGCGAAGGAGAAGAAAAAGAAATATTTAAAAAAATTAAAAAACTACCAGTATAAGTGAATTTCGACAAGTATAAATTACTCATATGGCCTCTCATATGTTTTTCTTTTACACTAAACAAAACATACCAAATCGAAATATTTCAAAAATGTTGGCTAACATTTTCCCCTCAAAAATTGATTAAAAAAGCTTAAAACGATTCATCCAGTTTCAATTAAACATAATAGAGTTTTAGAAACGAAACCACATTAATTTAAATATACTGTTTTGTAAGAGTTTTCAAAAAACATGAAGTTATGAACATTATTGTTTGTGAGCTATGAAATCAAAAATGAATGTGATTACTTGCACGACATTTTTATTTTATTTCCAAGTTCCTTTTACAAATAGAAAAATTTCTTCTCTATAGGGGCAACTTATAAATCCGATTTCCGAACTGTTTTGGTGTTGAATTTCTACTCGATAGTTAAATCTCAGAAAAAAAAACATTATTGTTAAATTATTAAACTTTATACCCCTCTAAAATCTAATAAAATACACACAAAACTGCACAAGCCATATCACTGACACAAAAACAAGTGTACTATTTCTTACATATTGTATCATCATAATTCATATTTTTAACATTTATGATAATATTAACGTGATTATTCATTCTGTCATAATTTATATTAAAAAATAATTTTTTAAAAACCAATCAAGATTAACTTTATTTAGTTATTTTAATTACAATTAGAAAAATACAGTATGAGACCAATTTATGAGATTCTTGAAACATATCATAAAATAATTTTATAGCTGGTAAATACAATTAAATTTCATTTTAAAACTTTAATGTTACTCAAATATAATTGCCCTTTTAACATTATTTTTTTTTTTTTATTCAATTGATACTTTTTCAGAAAGTAAATCAACAAAAATTATTCAATAAAATTGAAATTCTTAGAACTTAAGTTTAGCCATTTAGTTGTATCTTCTCTGACATATTGGATTTGGAAGCTAATTTTCTAATGGTCATGTACACATTTTCTAAGTAGTTTTCCTAATATAAAAAATTACAGCAAATTTTATATCTAATATTTAAATTTGCTAAATATGTATAGTTTTATTTTAATGCTAAAAATTAGAAAAATTACCCAATTTGTTTATTGTAAGGATTTAAAAATTAAAATATGGTGTAGAATTAATTGATATAGCTTGACGTTTTATTTTATAATGAATAATTTCATACTATTTTGATTTATTCTATTTTTATTTGAAGCATTTTACATTTAACAATTAAGCTCAACAATTACTGAATTAACAACAACAGAATACTCATACTATAACGTAGATAGTTAAGTTCATTTTTAAAAATATTTTCAAATGAAATACGGAAATTATAAGTTTTATGTGAATATTATAATTCCTATTACTTAAATATAATATTATATATACATCTAAAAACCAGCAGACTTAAAGGTATCTTAAACTACGTAACTTACTCGAATATAACAATTCTTTCTTTGATTAGTCAAAAATTATGTTCTACATCAAAAAATAACAGAATCACATTTATACTAGGTACACATAATAAATAACTTTAATACTGTACATAATACCTATATTTAACTCTATTTCTAATGACATAAGATAGCAAAAACCGAATACTCTGTAATAAATGACACAATTTAAACATACACAAACTGATTTCGCTTATAACACTCACAATAAGCAATACATTTAATACAATACCAACAATAGTTTACTATAGAATACAATTTTCTCAGAAATATTGGACAATAAAATCACGATTCTTTGAATGGGCTATTGTTTGCATTCTTGTATTTTTATAATTTTTTTTATAACTCGTTCAACCAATGTATAGTGTTTAACAGAAATCGCTCGTCTGCTACTAATACGTAATTATTATTAATTTTATAAAAATTCCTTAATCGCTGAACTATGTCATAAAAAGATCAACTACTTATGTATAAGTTGTTTTTAATTTCAAAATTAAAAAAGTGTAACAATGTTTACTGGGTACTAAAATATCTACGATTAAAAAATATATCGAGATACGAATACACGAATCATTGATCAGTCGGTATTTTTATAAATCGAAATTGAAAAGGTTTTTTGTTTATATTACAATGATTTTAATCGTTATCTATTACACCACGAATTAATAACTATCATTAATTTTAGTACTTGCTAACGAATGACGACCGACCTTCGACCTGGAGCATATATTTATATTACTCTTTTGCTGTGTGGTTCACAAAATACTAAATATGCATACAGATACTTAAACAATAATTGTAATTGTAGATAATACATTAGCCAAATAACGCTATTTATTTATTTTTTTTTTTTTTTACTACTATCAAAGCAATGAACTGATTTGATTTAACATTATACAAAATGCATGTCTTTTGAATCGACCGAAATATTCAACAGTTCTTAGCTATTTATATTCAAGAAGCTTTTAGCTGTTTAAATTCCGTGTAAATTACTATTGTTGCTAATAAATTACGCAGTAATTATAATTTAAAATGTTAAAGCCCATATAACTTTCAAAATGCTCATTATATTTAATGCAAGACAGAAGCATAGTTTTGAAGATTTTATTTTAAGTGTAGTAATAATTACAAACTTTTAATTTTTCTCTTAATTAAGAGCATAATAAATAATAATTGATAAATGTTTTACAATTTACATAAAAATCCTAGTATTCTGATAAACTGATAGAAATGTTATATTGCGTCTATATTTCATCGTATTGCCAATAGTTTAATAATAAACGTATTAAATCATGTACAATCATGTACAATCCAAGGTGATCCAAAAACTAAAACACAAATATTATTATAATTTTGTTAAAGTGAAAATATTTTATCTGTAAAGTAGTTTATAAAGTAGTTTGTAAGTATTTGTTCTCTTTATAACTTTATAATTTATAATTTTATTATTATCGCTTAACTGTAACATATATTCATATAAATTTGTAGGAGTTTATTTAATAAAAATAATTAATAATTCTTCTATTGTATTTTCAGAAGATGAAAGTGGAATACCAGTTGGATCGAAAATACAAATAAAAATTCAAGAATCTCTACAAAATGGACGATGTAACGAAATTGCTTTAGAACCCTCGTATTCGATATTAGCAATACAAAACAAAAATACTTCGTGTTCGTTACAGGCTAGTATTAATATTTATGAAAATATTAGTATAATAAATTACTAATTAATTATGATTACATATTAAAATTATAACTATATATACTAATAAATGAGGATTTAAAATACAAAACAACTTAAAGGTACTCACTTAGTTTTTGAAATTTAAGCCATACTATAAAACTGTTTTATGGATATACCTATATCACTTAGAATGGGTTAAACTGTTTTTTTTTCAATAGATAAATTTTAAGAATAATTCCAAACAAAACTAGTTTATTATCAAAATCGTTAAATCAAACATTTTAGATATTTGACTAGTAAAAATTTTACATATACAATAAAAATATTTATGGATATGACTATGTAATAAACGATTTTAAAATACGAATTCCTTTTTAATTTATAATGAAATCTCCAATATATATCTCAAAAATAGTTTGATTCTTTAATAACTGAGTAATATACAATATACAATACTAATAATCATACAAATCTTATTTAGTATTTATTAAATTATTTTTTTTATACATTGTATATTTATTGTATATGTATGTATAAAATCTTGTGTCTATCTTTACTATTGATATCTATTAGATATTTTAATCTCTTTAGATAATAAAAATAAAATATATTGTAATATTATAAATAGACATAAATAGGCAAATAGCAATGACTATGGGAGAAAACTTTTAGAAATCAAAAAAATCAGTTTTCGTCCAAAAATAGATTTGTGCTGTCAGTAAATTTAAACTATGGATAATATGCAGGATTTCAAGTATGCACATTACTTTTTATTTTTCAAATGACAAAAATCATCTAAAATCATAATAAATATAATTATGGTAAGACTTACACCCTCTATCTCCCTAAATTTTCCGCTTAACCGTTAGGATCCACAATAGGCGTATTAAAAGAAATAATTATAACTATTTATATATTTTTTACTCTATATAAACTTGAATTCCAATCCTGCAATTTTTGTTGAAGTAAAAAAAACTAAAATCTCGATTCATATAAAGATCATTCTAATACATTCGAGTAAGTTAATAATTATTACAGTTTAGGTAAGAACTTTAATTTCCTATTAAAAAAAAATTATAAATGTAAAGTATATATACACGAAATAATTAACTGTTCAATGTAAGTAGCTTAATACTTACACTTAATTGCATAATAACAATTAATACGAAAACCTAAATAGTTATTCTTTTTGGTATATTTAAATATTTTAATTTCTATTTCCCATACTGTTGTTATAATTATTACTCTTTCAGTTGGAAAACCGTGTGAACGACAAAAATAATGTCAGATTCACTTCACGAATGCGGAATAGTAATCAACTAAAGACATGTGAATCGTTTGTTGTGTATCCAAACCACAAATCGGTTCCAACACAGGATATGGTGTATACCAGCATAGCTAAACCGTACACGGAAATAGAAAGCATTGTATAGATTAGCATAGTTCATTTTAGGTAATTATCAATGATTTATTTATTTTATGTACCTATAAGAATAACATAATTTAACAAAAATAAGTTTAATAAAATGTAACTCATTTTTGGTTGAGCTTACATTTTATAATCAGTATCCATAAACATACATTATTTCAATTAAAGAAATGTGTGCAAGATACGTAAACGAGTACAATATAGGTTTACAATCAGTTTGACATTGAAAAAACAAGGATTTGAATTTGTGTACAATTAACTTTAATTTTTGATAAGTTAAACATTCAATGCAGAGTCATGCATTTTTAGGATATTGGTATTTTAGAGAACAACTTATTTTTAAAAATTTACCTCGAACATAGGTACATAGGTATGATTATATTTATTTAATATATTTAATGATTTTTAAAAATTCTTATTTAAATAAGGATTTGTTTATTCGTTTTTTATTATATCTTTTCCATTTTATAAGTAGTAATTTTATTTGGACCCTTATGCTATTTTTGACACATATAAATGTATAGTGGCGTACATTCGATCTTGCTTTAGGAAGGGGGTTTACAAAAAATAATCGTTATCTTTTTTTTTTTTCGTTGCACTGATAAATAAGATAAATAACTGCTATAAACAGATATTATTTTATACAACATTTTTACCAATTTACAGTTTACTTTTACATTACAGTAAATTAATAACTATTGGAACTTAAAAACAGCATAGTTAACAAAACTTTTCAAACACCTATCAATATAATTATTTAATTATCATAATATTTATATAATTGTATATTTTAAGTTCAAAGCGTAATAATGAAACTACGAATATATTACACGTCATCAATAATAAAACAATTTTCTTTTTTTTTGGCCTTGGAGGGTTTGAACCCGGGACCCCCCCCCCGTATGTACACCATTGTAAATGTAAGACACGCAATATAATTTTATTAGAGTTAATTATTATTTTTCCTCTTAGAAACAGCTTATTAATTACTTGAATTTGAAGTAATTAGTATTATTATTATTCATATAATTATTAATATTCATTCCATTTACAATATATCAAAAAACCAAATAATTTAAAACCTTAAAAAATGTATAAATATTGTACAGTATTCGTTTATGAAATTAATTTATTCTCAAAATGAGTTTGTATAAGCCCGAAGTAAAATTATATTAATATTTTCATTGAATTTGTATAAAACAAAAACTATCATATTATTTTAAGTTTCATTTATTTATTGAGTCCATATAAAATAAGTATGATCAGTCAAATTGTATCATTGTATTTGTAATAATTATATGAAACAATTAATAATAGATAATATCTATACAGCATCACAGTATCCGATCGTATCAATAGTTAAGTAAAAAAATTACAATATTTGAACAATTTCATATATAAATTTAACAACCAACAAACATTTCAAAATACTGATCAATAAAATTCATAACGAATATGATTGATTTTAAACGGCTTTCAAGTGCATTTTCTTTAAAGTTTGCAATCGAGATAATGATCGACTCCATAGATTTATATAAATAATGTGTGATCCAAAGAAACACTTATAAAAATAAAATACATCGTTTGAGGGCTATAAACTATAGATTTTTTTTTTTTTGACACACCTGTATTTTTCCCTATTTCGTGACAAAGCTTTCGCGGGAATTATGTATATTCCTGAGTACATAATATACACTCGAGTTTAACACGGCAACGTGAAGATTATAAAAGTAATTCCATGAGATAAAAGCTCCACCAATATTTGAGAATATCACCAAAAATTATTCTACCCACAATTTTGTTTAAATATAACAACATGGGTTAAGTAGGTACTTGCGTAATATCTTACAATTTAAATGACATTTTTTCTTTGCCGCACGGACTTATACGAGTAAACTAAATATTTCAATTCACCGCTTGAGCTTTCTTCTGGTGCAAACAGCCAAAACAAGTTAAGACGTATATAAGCGCGTATCATGAACACGTATACATAATATAAATTATATTATTTATAATATACAGGTACTATTCAAATGTAATGAACTTGGATGTTAACAAGTTTTTCATAGCACCTGAATTATGAATCCGTCGAACTCTAACACGATTAGCATGATAAGTATGGGGTTTAGTGGAGGTTAGGTTAGGAAGGGTTACGGAGGTCAGCGCACGAATCGAGGGAAAAATATTAGACTATTTGATTAAGGTTATCGTAAAGAATCATAATACTTACACATATTATACGTCAACTACACACGACTTTATCTGCACCGTGAAAATTTAACATATTTTATAATGCATCACACGGATCATACACTTTTATTAGGCATTTGCAAATCAATTTAAAAAAACATTTAACACATAAAAGGTTATCGATCTGATGTGCGCAAACACATAAATACCCACATAGTTTTATTAGACGAATTTTTGAGTAGTTTAATGTGAATAGTGTTTATACTCTAATGATTCTTTAGATTGAAAATTATTACTTAAAAATGCTTGTGTTTTTATTTTATCTCCTACATCTGTACACGAAACTCAAGAAACCTCTGGTAATCATATTATACCATTACATAAGCCGTGTATTACTTATCAAGTTGTTTATTTATAAAAGTATGCAATGTCAGAGTAATAACCGAAACTTAATAAAGTTTTCATACGATTGTGCTACGGATGATGAACTTAAAGTTTCATAAATATATAGAGTCAAAGTGAATTTCAAGTTGAATATTACTAAAATCATTTAGTTCGTTTAGTTCTACTAGTATCCCAAATGTATTTTAACTAATATGACTAATATGATATTAACTAATATTTAAACTATTATGACATAAAACAATATGAAATTGTAAACTAAATACAGTTTATTAAATGAGATATTATATTTGTACGAGTACATACACGTATTACGTATCAATCGTATTGCGATAAGCTAATAGTACACAAATAATAAAAATATAGTGCATAACTTTTTAAAGTTTTCGCTGTCAAACACACCCATGAAATCTTTGTTTTCAGTAATTCATTAACATGACTTTATAGCAGAAAATTATGTAAATTTCTTCAGACACACATAAAATATGTCATGACTAACAATATTGATTCAATAAGTTCCATTTTACAGAGGGAGAAACATAAAATAATATGTACCCAGAGTCCAATAAAAATGCTCTGACTAGTCAAAAATGTTTCCACGTTGTAATGAACTCATTACAATAACACAACTCATAACACATTTATTTTTACATAAGCACATTACTTTGTTTATTTATTAAATACATTTAACAGGTAGACATATATTTCATACATATATTTATATAATGAATATAATAATAATAATAATAATAATAATAATCAAAATAAAAAAAAATAACAATTTAGAAGTAAATTGATATACACATATATACACATATATAGTTATAAAGGTTTCGTTTGACTCACTGTTTTAATAATATCAATGTTGATATGAACTGCGGCAGCATGCACGATGGGAATAACGATAAAGTGATAGTGATGTGTATTGCGGTAAAATGTAGGGGACGATACAGCGGTCACTAACTACATTTTATGTTAGATATGGAATGGAGATGTCGTAGGGAGATAGATTCTTGCGTGTGTACTACGCTAATAAATCCGACAATACGGATTACTCCGTATCCAGAGCGATAGGTAGGTATACTGCAAGGAAAGAGTTTGTAGGTAGAGAGAAGTAAACAGATTTAGGAAGCCCGATAATCTCCGTACTCAGAGCTCTAGATCTTTAGTATACTATTACAAGGACTGGGATTTAGTTGTTCTTCTTTCCGGAAACGTGGTCTTATATGTATGTACGCTGGTGCCGATTACATGCCGAATTCCGTTTCCTATTGTCGCAGATTGATCTTTATATACTTTCCCGCTTAATAATTTCCTCTCCTAATTTTGATAAGCACACAGATTTTAATCTTCTTTTTCGTTTGGTATATATTTACAGTTCCATATATTAAAAATCTTCTTTCACCGAACCATACATTATCTCACACTTAACCGGTTGTGTCTAAACGTGCCCTCTTTTGGTACTTTGTTCTATATTTATTCACTGTTGAATATGAACACGGCGCGTCGTGGTGGTGCGTAGTGACCATTATTAGTATGTTACATAGTGCCACAGACAGCCTCTGATGGTATACTTGTTACAACGTAAATCACTTACCTCTGCTATTTTGGTAATTTTTGAATTTAATGAATTTAAATTCCAACTGTTCTATTATTGTATAATCGAAAACATAATATCTTGATTGTTTTTATTAATATTAACGAATTCTATAATCTCCGAGTAACTATAATTCATATTTTTTTAAATAAAAATTCTTTCTTTTTTTAATTTTTATTATATGTATTTTAATTTATTAAATATTGTATAATGTTTACAATTTGATAACATTAGTTTAACTTTAAATAAAATAAAAAATTCGTTAAAGTCAATTTAAATTCCGATAAACATCTCAAAGATTTTTCGAACCTTGGAAGACAAATTTAAAAAAAGATTTCTTTTATAAACAGACTTATTTTTCTATTTGGAATTTTTATTCTACTGAATTTGACTTAAATATTTTTAAAAAATTATTTTCTTTATTGTTTGATTATTTAAAAATGTATTTTAATTTTGAGTTCAGTATAGTATTATAAATTCCTTTAGTGTTTTCTATCCTTATTCTTTCCGTGTTATAATATGTTATGAATACTAATTAAGGGAAATTCATAAGCATAACTTTAAAATAACATATTGTAAATTATGGAAATGTTCTATACTTTTCTTTTTTTTTATATATATATATATAACTGAACCTCAGGTGAATCACATTAGAATACAAAAAAGTGTATTACTGAAGATTTTTTCCAATGGCCTAATTCGTTTAGAAGATAAAAACGATTAAATAAATATATTATTGATAACAATTGTACCTGCTTAATTATGTACTATACGGTAAAAAAAATACATAAATACTACTATGTTTGAATACCATATAAAATGGATCAATATATAT